TGTCCCCAGGACTGTCCCCAGCAATCCACAGCATTGAACGTGCAGAGCAGAGCCAATTCTTTGGTGCTGCTCCCCCTCCGCCCATACCCCACAGGCACCAATCCCTTCCCGAGGGATCCCCAGTGTCCCCAGGGCCCGGTGGCATCCTCGGGGACACTCCTGTCCCCCAGCAGAACCAGCTGCCACCATCTGAGCCTCGCCAGCCGAGTCTCCTGAGCTTCATCAGCAAAATCCCCCTGGCCTCCATCCCCCCGTGCTTTCTCCTGTTCAAACAGGAATGAAAACCCTCCCAGGGTGGGGATGGGTCCCAAACTGGTGACAGTGACATCGGGGTACCCCCAGACAGCTCTCCCTGCCCTACCTGCTCCCKCCAGCCCAGTACTTTTCCAGCTATGGATGCCATATGCTCCGTCCCCATCCCATCAAATCCCAGCTCCCAGTCGCCTTTGAGCCCGAGCCAGCGGCCCCGAGTCCACCTGTCTTGAACTAATTCTGTTTGGGGACGCGGTGTTCGGCGGCTTTTCCACAGATCCCGACCACCACAACCACGAAACAATGCCAGGGCCAGGCTCCCACAGCACCACCCCAACCTGCCAGCCCCGCATTTCCCCCAATTTTGCTAAAATCCAAAYGAATCTCCCATTTTCTGGCTGAAAAATTCAGCACAAAGCGGGAAGGAAGCGCTGGTTTTTTTTTTGTTCACAGCTCCAAAAACCTCCCCCTTTCATCTCCATGTGGCCACTTCAAAGCCCCCAGCCAGGGAAATATTTGCCTCCCTTGGCTGGGCCCGGGCCCGTGGGTGGAGGGAAGAATTTGGTGTTGAATGTTGCAGCCCTGCGAGCTCGGGACATGTCCCGGCGTCAGGAGGCGGCCGGGAGAGCGGCCAGCCCGTGCCATGGGAACTCGGGGAGGAGCTGGGCAGGGTTTTTTGGGGTCAGAGCCATGGAGGTGTTTGGGGGAAGGGTTCTGTCCTTTTTCCAATCCCTGCCCAGCTCATTGTGGCACATTTTTTACCTCGGTTTCACTCCCAGCTTTCTGCAGGGCTAAAAATTAGGGGAAATTGCACAGTTTTGGTTTTGGATGGTGGGTTTGACCCAGGGACAAACCAGCCCAGAGTCACAGCCCCCTGCACGGTGCCAGCTGCTCCCTTTTYCCTTGTGGGATTCACCTCCAGCCTCACCCCAACCCTCCCTCGGCGACAGAAAAAGCTGGAAATAGAAATTCCCTCGAGGAACACGACCCCAGCCAGATGCTGAATCAGCTCAGGGTGGCACAGAGGGAGGAAAAAAAACCTGTGAAGAATCRGGCTGGCTGGGCAGCATTCCCCTGCTGGGATGGGGATGCTGCTGGCACCCCTTTGGCAGCTCCTGGATGCCCTTCCCAGCCCGGTGCCTGCAGGTGAGCAGCTGCCGAGCTGACTCAGGGCTCYGGGTGCTATTCCTGGCTCGCCACTGACTCATTACCTCGGGCAAATCGCATCCCTTTTCCATTTCATTTCAGCCACTCGGATGGGAAATCGCTTCCCAGAGCTCCAGAGCGAGGAGGGCACACGGAGCCCGAGCCTTGGCACGAATATTCCAAACTCTCCTCCCCCGGGGTGGAAGGATGGAGCCAGAGCTGGGAGAGGAGAGGGATGAGGCTCCCAAGGAGGGAGGGAGGGAGGGATGTGAGCTGCATCCATCTGGGACCAGCTTTAGTCCAGCCTACGGGGAATGCATCAGCTTTGTTGTGACGCTGCCTTTTTGGGTGTTAAAAAGGGGATTTCGCTCGGTTTTTCCCAACAAATTCCTCACCTGAAGAGAGGCAGGGTAGAAAGGAGGGAAAGGCAGCCGAGGATTTCTGAGGAAGAAGAGGGATTTGGATGGAGAGTGTCACCAGCACCCTGCTGCTCTCTGCTCGGGGTGCTCCGAGCTCACCCATCCCAATGTCCTTCCCACCCCAATTCCTTGGGAATTGGGACACAAACGGAATGGGAGAATCCAGAGGAGCAAAGCCGCTCTCTGAGAAAACCCCCAGGTCCCAAACCCCCGCAGAGGGCACAGAACATCGRGGTCTCACCCAGCCAGGGGGTCTGCGGGGGGAAAGAGCCGGCGAGACTCGGCGGCGGCTCCAGGAATTCTGGTTATTCCGGGCTGGAACGGGGAAATTGCTGAGGGAACAGCAGGAACAGCATCCCCAGCACCCACCCTGCGGCGCAGGGAGCATCGGCACCATCTGCTAGGTGAATCAGCCTGCAGACAACTCGCTGGCAGCTCCGCCGAGAGGCCCCCCCAAGCCGGAGGTGAGATGGAACACGTGCTCCCGGCACCTCCCGGCGGCCCCCCCGCCACGCACCTGGGGCTCCCGGCCCCAAAACGCCACAGGAGAGAGCCTGGATCTGCTCTTCTCCCACCTCAGGATGCACAGAGTGGGGTGGAAGAGGTTCTGGAAGCTTGGGGAGATCCCAACCTGCGGCTGTGCAGCTCGAGGGGAAGGGTGAAGCAGGAGGAGGAGAGGCAGCACGTTCCTGAAGGGAGCTGGAGGATGGAAGTGGAAGCTGGGGGATATTTGGGCCAGCTCTTCCTGCAAATCCTCGGCGTGGAGATGCCCCAGGAGCCACAAGAGACCCTTCAGATGAGCCCAAACGCCTCAAACCAGATCCAACCCTGCGCTCGGGGCTCTGAATTCAAGGAGATGGCATTTCCAGGTGGATAAAACATGGAATTTCAGGGGAAAACACGCAGGCAGGGCTGGAACTGCGGGACATGTGTGACACAGGTACCAGGAAGGGACAAGGACTCACCTGTGCCCGGACCAGCGACTCGAAGCTGGGTTTGAAGTAATCGATGCGGCTGCTGTAGAATTTGGGCATCTCCTCCAGGAGCTGCTTGTTCTTGGCTTCAAAGTCCTCCTTCACCGGGCGCAGCTCCTCACGGGCCTGTGGAGGGAGTGAGGGATGGAGTCACATCCYGGGGAAAAGGATTGTCCTGGGGAGGGGCCACCAGGACAGTGGGGTGCTGTGCTTTGATGGGAGGACGAGCGGCGACCGGCCTGGTGGAACCCATGGGACCATCAGTGGAACCTGCTGGGATCCATAGGACCATCAATGAACTCTGGTGGGACCCATGGGATCATCAATGGAACCTTCTGGGATCCATGGGATCATCAGTGGAATATCATGGGACCCATATGACCATCAATGGAACCTCAGGGGACCCATGGGACCATCAATAGAACCCACTGGGACACACGGGATCATCAATGGAACCTCAGGGGACCCATGGGATCATCAATGGAACCTTGTGGGACCCATGGGACCATCAATGGAACATCAGGGGACCCACGGGATCATCAATGGAACCTCAGGGGACCCATAGGAGCATCAATGGAACCTCACAGGACCTATGGGACCATCAATGGAACCTGCTGGAACCCATAGGACTATCAATGGACTCTGCTGGGACTCATGGGAGCATCAATGGAACCTCATGGGACCTGTGGGATCATCAATAGAACCCGCTGGGACACACAGGACCATCAATGGAACCTCATGGGACACACGGGATCATCAATGGAACCTGGTGGGACCCATGGGACCATCAATGGAATATCATGGGACTGAAGTGACCATCCAAGAGAATTTCATGATACTCAAGTGCCCATCCAATGGAATCTGGTGGGACCCACGTGACCAATGAGTGGATGCTGATTGGCCAATCCAATGGACCCTGGCAGGACCCGAACTCTGCCCCTGGAAAGCCACAGCACACCCAGAGAGCTGTGAACCTTCTCCCTTTTGGAAAAAACCTGGAAAAAACCCAGAGTTTGGTCCCTGACCACATCCCCATCCCCTCACCCTGCGATTCCCGGGAACGTCCCAGAATTCTGTCCCCACCGCCACCGTGACCTTCAGCTCAGTGCACCCAACTGGCTGCTCTAGAGCCAGCGTGGGGAGAAAGGGAAATGTCTCTGGGCTGSTGTGGAAAAGGGCAGGAGGGGGTGGGCTGTGAAATATCAGAGCGGTTCCAGTCGGTCACTTAATCCCGGTGTTATTCCGACGGGAGGGGGGTGAGGGACAGCCCAGCCCGGGGCGGCGCCAGCCCTGGGGACAGGGACAGGGACAGCGTGCCAGAGGCATGGCATGGACTGGGCTCCAGGCTGGAAAAGCTTGGAATTGTCCCAGGAAAGGAGCAAATCCATCACTCACCATAAAAACGGGAGCGTTGAAACTCCCGGGATGGAGTTCAAGGGGAAAAATTCCATCCTGGGATGGAATTTATGGGGGAAACTCCCGGGATGAAGTTTATGGGGAAAAATTCCCAGGATGGAGTTTATGGGGGAAAATTCCCAGGATGGAGTTTATGGGGGAAATTCCTGGGATTGAATTCATGGGGAAAAATTGAATTCATGGGGGGAAACTCCCAGGATGGAGCTCATGGGGAAAATTCCCAGGATGGAATTCAAGTGGGAAAATCCTGGGATGGAGTTCATGGGGAAAAATCCTCAGATGGAGTTTATAGGGGAAACTATCGGGATGGAATTCATAGGGAAAATTCCTGGGATGAAATTCAAGGGCGAATCTCCCAGGATGGAGTTCATGAGGAAAACTCCTAAAATGGAGTTCATGGGAAAAAAATCCTGGGATGAAATTCCTGGGGAAAACTACCGAGATGGAGTTTATGGGGAAAACTCCTGGGATGGAGTTCATGGGGAAAAATCCTGGGATGGAATTCAAGGGGGAAAATTCCTGGGATAGAGTTAATGGGGGAAACTCTCGGGATTGAGTTCACAGGGGGCAGAAAACCTGGAGCAAATAAAGATGTAAATTTACAGCTCAATAATTAAATACTTGGATGAGATGAGGCCATTTCCCATCAAATCCAGAGCCTTTGGATACCCCAGGTTTGGGATTGCTCAAGGCTCCCTCCCACAGGTGTTTAACTCAATGCTTGGCTAAGATTTTATTTTTTTGGGAGGGCGGTGGAATTAGATCAAAAGTTCATTAAGGGGAAAAAAAATAAATGAAATATCTAAACCCTGCTTAATCACCAGGACAAAAGAATTCCCATTTTTCCAGCCCCAGCTTTAGTCGCCGAGGCTGAGCAAAATAAGCTGCTTACTGTTAAACCAGAGGTGTCTTTTGTTCAGGCTGTTCTTTAACATAAAACTTCATTTTTTTGGGGGGGGGGAATTCATCAGAAAAACACATTTTCTTTGACTCTGAGAATGAATTGTTCCTGGGAGGATCAAGCCACGTGCTGCCGGAGCGACAGATTTAGGGGAAAAAAATGATTGGATTAAAAAAAAAAAACAAAAAAAAAACAACAAACCCAACAAACTCATCACGATTTCACTAAAATTCGGGAAGACAGCAAAAAAGAACCTGGCAAAACTTCCTGTTAACCAATTACGGCGATTTTCCAAGGCGAATTTTTTTTTTTTTGGGAACAGGTGGCAAACATAAAGCTGGGAAATGCTCTGATCTGTTCCCTTCCCCATCCAGCTGCTCGCTCAGACATCGAGGTCGTGGGGAATCCTCTGTGCTCCGACCTCGGCGCTGCCTCCGAGCACCCTGGAACTCTGATTCCAAACATTTCCAAAATGTTCCATTTTGCCTTGGAAAAGCAGCTCCTTCCCTCGGCTGAGAGCTCAAAAACGTTTTTTTTGTGCTGTCAAAAATGTGATTTTTACACAGATGAAAGACATCCTCCCAAAATGTTCTGTTCACGGTGTGCATTTTGGGTAAAAGGGAAAATATTTTCCCGATTTTTCCTGATTTTTCCTGACTTTTCCCGATTTTTCCCGGGATTTTGGCTCTGCCTCCATACCTGGTGCAGCTTGGCCAGCACAGGACCAGTCCTCTCTTTTTCCTCATATTTTTCCACCTTGGATTGCAGCCGTTTGTAATCCTGGAGCGTCTGCTCCCGGCGTTTCACTGCCATGTTCAGGCTCGGGAAGACACTGCTGAACCTGGAAAAAAATGGAAAAAAGTGGAAAAAAGTGGGAAAAAAAGGATGGGAAAGGTTTGGAGTGGGATATTTTGGGTGGAGGAAGCATCCAAAGAAATCCTTGAGCATCCTGGCCTAACAAAAAGTTCCCTGCCCGTGAGATTTTC